GTTTATCCATTAGTTTGAAGATATAAAGGAAAACATAATTTATATCTATTTTTAGTATCTTAAAAAAAATTCTCTAAAATCTTTATACAAATTGAGTCTTCTTATCTAATATACTATTTTTAAGAAATCTATGACAACAATAGATATCATCAACATGAATATACCTGATTCAATGTGCTTAAAAAAAATTGAATTGATATTTATTGTTGATTCCATTGCTCAAAGATGAAATTGCTCTAACTTTAAGAAAAATTTCTATTATTAATCAAAAGCCATATCTCTTTCTTTTGGTATAAAATAAGATTGTTTAGAAACAACATCTCATAAATCTTGTTATTTTTTTGGTTGGTAAGCAATCTTGAATTCAAAATTTGACAAAAACATACTCTAATAGACTTGGCAACGATTCAAAAATATGTGCTAATATAAAAAACTTAAGATTATTTTGATCCATATGTATAATGATTGGATTAGAAGTACCTACCATATAATGGCATCATTTTTTGAAACAAATCTATAATTCTAAGAAGTTCTTTGTTATGAATCTCATAATTAATCTTAATTGTTGAAAATTTTCTTGAATCAAAAGCTAGTAGATGAAGTTTATCATTTGTTTCTATTTGTAACAATATGATACCTAAAGCAAAGTTTGATGTGTTTGTTTTTATAAAGAATGACTTGAAAAAATTGATGCAATATAAAATTGGTGTAGAAACAAAGATTATCTTGAAAGTTTTAAATGTTGCTTCTACTTCTTGATTTCATTGAAGTTTTTCTTTATAAGTCAAATGTATAAGTAGAGCTACAATTAGAAAGAAGTTCTTGATAAAGATCTAATAGTAATTAGCAAATTTTAAAAAACATTGGATATCTTTTATTATTTTTGGAATCTTCTAATCCATAATGATTTGAACTTTCTAAGGATCCATCATGAGTCCATCATTTGGAATGATGTATTTTAAGAAGTTGACATGAATAGTGTGAAATATGAGCTTTATATCTTTTAATTTTTGTAATATACATCAAATATGAAGTTTGTATTTTTTTTGTGTTCTTCGAATAGATTAAAATATTATCTTAATAACATACAACAAAATTATCCAAAAACTCTCAAAAGACATCATTTATTAGATATTAAAAAGTTTTTGATATATTTGTAAGTCTAAAAGATATGATATTGTATTCAAAATATCCATACTTGATTGAAAATGCATTCTTCTATTCCTTTTTTTCTTTGATGCATACTAAATTGTATGCTCGTTGTATATCTATTTTTTACAGATCTTAGCTTGATTCAATTAATCAAGTAATTTAAATATCAAAAGAAGATGATATCTATTCTTGATTATAATCTTATTGAGTTCTCGATAATTAATACATATTGGCAATGATCCACTTCTTTTTCATAAATATGATTGGAGCTCTTGTTGGAGATTTGGAATGGTGTATGAAATTCTTAATTAGATTATTGTCAATATATTTTTTATGTTGCACTAGTTCATTTTATCATACACTATAGAATGGTCCAAATGGCAATTGATTTTCTTCTTGAAGGTCAATTGAACAATCATAAAAAAATTATTTTGAAAAAATATTTACACTCTTCCTCTCAAAAATATCTTGAAAATCTTGATATTAACTTAGAATACTACTTTAAGTCTTTCTACCATTAGAAATATATGTGGCATAAAAACACAAGGTGATTCTTCTTTTGTAACATATAAGAAAGCTTTTGCATCTATAAATATGGATTTAGTTGCACTAGATTTATGAATTTCTACTTGATTAACAACATTCTTGGTTATAATCTCAAAAAACTTAAGACTACGAGAAATCCAATTTATTTGAAGCTTATATCTTTTTAGCTACAATAAATCTAAAATAATTTAATTAGATGAAGATTTAATGATATTAAATATTATGACTATTAATTACTATTTTTATAAGAAGTATTTTATGAATAACATCTCTAAAAAATAATAGATAGCTATTTATGACTTCTACATGAATAATTTAGTTTTTTTCTTTAAAAGTATGCTATGTCTTTTAACAAAATTTTTATCTAAAAAAATTGAAGCTCTTAAATTTAACAAGGTAAAAGAATTATAATATTTAGGCTTAAATTAATATCTATCATAAAATAAAGAAAAGGTTCTAAGAAGAAAATATGACCTTTATTATTTGTTGTATAAGATTTCAACTGCATGATCCTTGTTATTGTTGGACAAACTCATTTTTCAACATATTGTCTTCTTTGACAACCATATTCCTCATTTTATAGTTGTATTTTTTTGGACAATATTGAGCAATGTGCTTAGGTTCTCTATTACATATTTTTTGACGACAATAAGTCTTTTCTTGCTTAATAAGAGATATGAAACATTTTGCATCAATTTGCATATCATTTACTTTTGAATGTATGTATTGAACAGACGTTGGTATTAATATTGCATTGAAATAATGTTGAGGCCTACTTATGTGACCTTGAGATTGAAATTCAAAAAATTGGTTGTCATAAATCACAACAAAGTCAATTACTTGACTTAATATTTGAAGGTTAGATAAATTGAGAATTAATTTTTTTATCTCATATCATAATTTGTAAAAAAATTAATTAATGAGTGTAACATCGTCTCATTTGATATGAATAATAAGTTATTAAAATTATAAAGCATACATTATTACAAATTGATTGTCTTATTACAAAATACAAATCTTATTTGTTATAATATAAATTACATCATGTTCTCTATCCATGGATCAAAACTCCACCAAAAAAGCCTCTAAACTATCAAATATTAGATCACTCCATTCAAAAATAAATAAAAACCATGAAAATTGTGATCCTAAAGTTGTATAGCTTTGGAATTGAAGTTCAATCGCCAATTATATTTGATTAATGAATCTTCAAAATTTATACTTGTTCCATCAAATTTTTCAAGCAATGCAATTATTAGTTTTTTAATACTTAAATAGTGTTCCACCATAGGAAGAGTAGCATGATTTGTAGATATTGAAGCAACTCCAATTATTTTTATATCTTCATTGCCTACCAATCTTGTTGTATCTTGTGGTAGTAAATTGAGTCAATGCAGAGAAAGCATTAATTTTCTCAATTGCTCTTGCATTTGTGCAATTTCACTTTTTATTTTAGTAAGTTTTGCTATGATTATATAATAAAAAAGAAGATATCTAACATCTCTCAAAATAAATAGAAGAGAAGATTAAACAACAAAAGAAATTTTTAAAATAATATTAAATTAGAAGTAAATAATCTATAACTTCTAATATACTTATATCTTATCAAGAAAAAAAGATAGTCCACTTTTAATCAAGAAGAGACAAAGCTCTGAAATTATAAGTATACACTTGTTAATTTGTCAAAGACAAGAACTTGATGAAGGCAAATAAAGAAATGAGACTTTTTTTAAAGAAAGATGATAAAATAATACATATATATATATATATATATATATATATATATAAAAGAAACTAGAAAATTAGAGACCTTTGAAACTAAACTACTAGCAAGAAAGGAGTTGACAAGACTAAAGAAGGCTTCATTCTTGCTTCTATATATACTATCTATTTAAGAGATATATGACAAAGTTCTAGTAGACCTCCAACACGTGTTCAATTTGCAAGACATATGTTTTAACTTGCAAAACAAGTTTTTTTTATAAGTGCAACATTGTTAACTTGTATTAAAAGCTCTCAATATGTGCAATACATGGCTAATTTGTTAGCCATGTTTCTAACCTACCAATCACCTATAGACATATATAAAGGTGAAACCACATCTACAAAGCTTCTACAAATCAGTTGTAAAAGATATTATGAAATTAATCTAGTTTTATCTACTTCTATTTATTCATATTATTGATATCACTATTAGAATAAATATGTATGTTCGTGACATAAAGACATATTCGTCCATTTTTGTGGTTTTTAAAAAATACTTAAGAAACCATATAAAAAAAATGCTAAATAAAACTATTATAAAAAATAAAAAATAAAAATAAAAATTATTCTTCTCATTATTATTTAAATTATAAAATTAAATAATACATTAAATATGTACGAAAAAAATGATTTGGTCTCACTTTATACTTCACCTAAAAGCCAAAGCTTTTAAAAGAGGGAATTTTACAAAATAAACATAAATTACGTAGAGACAAACAATGATAAATTTTTTTAGTGATTATTCTTCTAATTTATAGATTTGAGAAAATCTGAAATGCCAACTACACCAAATTTACTTACTATGTATATCAAAAAAAATTTAATACATGCACCCTTTTTGAAATTTAGCAAGTAATACCTAAATAAAAGATTTTGTCTCTTTTTTGTGACCTTTGAGGTTGGAAGGCATTAAATAAATAGCAAGAAAAAAAAAAAAAAACAACAACAACAACAACAACAACAACAACATCCATTATCTAAACTCAATAATCAATAATGTGGATAATTATTCCAAAGATAATATTTGTATAGGGAACTAAACCTAAAAGTTGTTGTATGAGATTACTTTGTTTTTTTTCCTAATTTATACAATAGGCTTTATTTTTATAGTTATTATAATTTTTTTTTTAGGAAATAATACATTAAAACTATATCAAAATCTATAAGGTTTATTTTACACCTTCGAACCATCTTTCTCACATAAATTCAACCTTAACCAAGTATTATTATCATATTATTATTATTCATTATCTATGATGAATGTGGCATTCAAGATTCAGAAAAAATTAAAAAATTAAAAAATAAAAAAACCTGAGGACCACGGATAAAGAAAAAGCCAAAGCCAGTTCAATGCCACCCAGGTGATAAAGGACCATGGGGGTTGAAGACGAAGAACCTATCCGGAACGTAGAAGCCCATGAACCAAACTCATGGACAAATGGGAGTGCCTCGAGTTGCCACGTGTCATATATCGCCACGTGTCAGACCTATACCACGTCAGCTTCAGGGATGACCAGGAGCAGTGGGGGGGGGGGGGGTAGAGGCGTCCAAAAGGAGGGACGTTGCTTCCAGAGAGTAAGAAAGATCGTGCTTGAGGCGCCGGAGCAGGACGTTGTTGCCCGGCGACTTTGGTTGAGCACTAGGGTTTTCGCAGTGCTGGTGAGTGACATTGCGCTAAATTTGCCGCAGGAAATAGGAAGAAGACGAGAAGAATGCCGTTCGCCGTTCACGCCTGTGTGCAGGGGAGGGTGGTGGTGCCCAACCCTAGCGCGTCGTCGCTGTTGAATCTTCGCCACCAGGTCGGGACGCGAGCTTGTGCTCCGTCAGGAACTCTGCGGGTGCTTGAAGCTGGAGTTAGATTTTCTGGAGCGCGGAGGTTGTCTTGTGCGAGGACATTGTCCTCTTTGCAGTTTCTAGCCCCGGGTTTGGAAGGGCTGGAATTGCCGCCGAAGCCACACGCACTGTGGGGCGGGAGGTCGACGAGTGCGAGGGCGGAGCCCGGAGCGGGTGCATTCAATCAGGGTGGTTTCGAAAAGGATGAAGCGGCCAAAATTGCGCAGGTGAGGGAAGTGAAGTTTTTCTTAAAATTTTTCGGGGGGGGGGGGGGGGGGATGACGTGCATCAATCCGTGTTTTCTGGTTTGCACAAGATTCTGTGCCTGCATGCGTTGTTTGAATCGTGTTTTGAAAGGTGGATATTTCTTCTAACTGATACATCGGTATTTTAATCTTATAGTTAGCAGTTTCTTGTCAATCTTTATGTATGTCGTTGTTGTCACACGCAATAGAGTTATTACGCTCTTCTAGAGTGTTACTTCTTGAAATGTTCATTTGAGCCAATCTAGTGCGGATGCAGGTCGCGAGGCGGTTGGAGCGGACTGCAGGGCATTTCAAGCGGTTTGGAAGCTTGGGATTTTGGGGGCAACTTGTGTGTACAGTTGTTGCAGCTGTGATTTTAGCCTTTTCTGTGGTGATTACTGGCCAAGCCACATCACCTGTATCAATCTATCTTACTGCCGGCGGCATTGCTGCCGCCTTTCTCTCTGTATTCTGGTCTTTCGGATACATTCGCCTGGCGCAGAAGCTGCGCGAAACCATCGGCACTCCAACCAAGGTACCTGTTACGCCTGAAATCTCCTTTTGACCTGTTTCAAACCCTGCGTGAGTTGTAGTGGCACACTTCTTAACTTTTATATCAAAAAGCAGTTCATCTTAAGTTCTTTTGTTTTGAAGGCGCCTCCTCGAGCTCAGGTGGTAAAGAACTTGAGGAATGGAATCATCATCAACTTGCTTGGAATGGGAGCCACTTTGCTAGGTTTGCAAGCTACTGTCGGAGTCCTTGTTGCCAAAGCTCTCACATCCTCCAGCACACCATACTTGCAAGGAGCCCCATCGGGTTACAGTCCAGTTCTTGCCCTTGACGTCTTTCTTGTACAGGTAAGCATTGGACGACACATCATACGCACATTACGTCTTAGTTTTATGCAGATATTAGTCTATGAGGTTGACCTTATTCCCCCATTTGGTGATCTGGCCGAGGATAAACTCCACTGGTTTTTCTCTGTTGCAATTTTTCTTTTTGAGTGCTCATAGTCTTTTTACCGAGACGTTTCTAGTGTAACTGACGCACAAAAATCTTGGTGGACGGTTGTGTAAAGGCTTCGGGGAATGCGATTTTGTCTCATTTCCTCGGTTTACTATTCTCCCTGGAGCTGCTGCGATCAGTAACTCTTCAACAACCTCCTTCGGAGCCCAAGTTAGCTTGAGGGTGCTGCATAGTGTTAGGATGTTGCAGGGATGGTGCAGAGAGTTTTTCATGATGTATTTTTACGAATTTGTAAAGCTATATTGGTTACTATTTTTGCCGTCGCGTATTGCATATGATATCGTGTCATTCTAGGAGTACCAAGGTTGCAATGAAATGAAATTAGTTGTGTTAACAAAATGGTTCAATTTTACGAGGTTAATGTTATCGACTTGCTGCTAAAGATGTGCATATTTACTCTCTCTCCACTCAAGGATTTGATTTATTTTATGTACTGTTTACTCAGATAGAGTCTTCTAGTCAGGTGGACTTCGATAGTCCATTTGATTGAGGCTGTGTCCTGAGAAAAACTTGGTTTGACACATTTTGAACTTTTTGTAGCTGCATAGCCGTATTTTTTTGGACCAACAACCTGGAGGTTCATTGTGCAGTGATAGATCAATTATTATAATGTAGATTGATTTTGCTTACTATTATATATATATTTTGTGGATTACTATATTAAACGGTTACATGGTACAGCAACATTGTATTACCTATTCCTTTGCATGCTTACACTTGACATGCACATTGATAAGGACAAAGATGCAAAAATCGCACAATAAGTCTAAATTTGTTGAAAAACTCGAACACTACTTTACTTGAATAATGCCTCATATTAATGTCATCTAATTTTCTTGAATACAGAATTTATATCCCAAGTTGTTATCTATTAATATAAATATTTCTTTTAGATTTTAAAAGCTATCACTTGTCTTTTAATCACATACAATATTAAAATGACCCACCTTTTTACTAAATTGACCCACCCTATTGTAACCATTATAAAAAAAAAATGAATTATCTCCATAAACCATGCTTACAATCATAGTCTTCATCTCCACCTCCTTTGTTCCCAACCCCCACTCTCTTTGTTCTTTGTTCCCAACTCTCATCTTGATCCCCCCTCATTCCTCCCCTCCTCCCAATCCCAACTAAATGAGTCTCAATCAAGAGTTCTATTCAGCAATATTCTTCCTCTTTAACTGATGTGAAATTGGTTTTTTAGCATCAAATTCCTTGAGAAGGCAATGAAACCCAAAATGTTTTCCAAACAACTTTATACTCCAATCTCAAGTTTACAGCGATTTGATCATGCATTTGAACAGTCAACATTGTTGAAGGTGAAACCAAGTGTGGTTATCCAACAATGTAGAGAATCCTATTAAATTTTTTTGTCTAGTATAGTTGAATGTAAAAAATTTTAACAAAAATAAGAAAAGGGGTTAGTAAAGGAGAGTGATTGCCCAACGTGTGGCAAAATTCTCCAAAAGTCTATTAGATATATACTTTGACTTTCATCCCTTTAAACTTCTGCTTAGCTCTATTGTCAACTTTTGCCGCTATTCCAATTAGAGTAAAATTTACACTCCACAAGAAATGGAGTAGTGCCTTTTATTTCTTTTTTCAACTCTAAATTACGTGAAGAGGAAATCAAGATTCATAATAATGAATACATAATTTATCTTGAATTTGAGCACGACATCAATCATGGGGAGGAGAGAAATGGGGAGTTGGAATGAAGAAGGTTGAGAACAGAGAAAGCAAAAATTGGAAACAAGGAGGGTGGAAATGAGGGCCATGATTGCAATGATGGTTTTTAGAGATAATCCATTTTTCTTATGATCCTTACAATATGGTGGATGAATTTAGTAAATGGGTGGGTCATTTTACCATTTCCTTTAATTTAATGTACTGTTGTGAAGTACAATTGGATCACAAAAAACAACAAATTGAAATTTTTTCAAATATCTTACAAATCAATCTTTAATGATGACCATATTAATGATAATATTATAATTTTTGAAGTAGTTGTATAAATTATATATAGATGTGTCTTGTAACAAGTGTCCAATAAAAAAAAAATCTTCTTTCTTGAATTAGATCTTTTTTCTTGCATAAATTCTTTAGTCAATTATTTAATTTAATTTAATTATTTTGTATTATTCTATTATGAGTATTTGAAAATATAATTCTAATGTAGTTTTATTATCTTATTGCCAAATTTTAGATAGTTCTATGACTATCAAAATAACTTAATTACTATTTTATCTTTTTAGATTCTTTTTAAAAGAGTAATTACAAACAAATTATGTTGAATATTTGATATAATGAAACATCCTTTATTCTATCTTTTACAACAAATAATAGAATGTTTATAATATTTCATTCATTTTTTTACAATTGATTGTTAAAATTTTCTTATTATTCAAAAAATAAATAAATAAATAAATAAAAACACACAATAACCTTATTACCTTCTCTTTATATTCTATTTATATGTTCTTATTCTTCTTCTTCTTTTAAGTTCTATAACAATTAATTGACTTTAAAAAATATTTTGTTTAGTTTTTCTTATTTAATATATAAAACCAATTCATCAATTTTTAATAAATCAAAGATCCTAATTATTTCTAGTTTTAAGGCAAACCAATTAGCAAACAAACTATTGTTCAAATGTCTTTCTTTTCCTTGTTCTTCTAAAATACTATGAAAGTTTCTATTCTATTACAAAATACAATAAATGAAGAATTTTACTTATTTTACATATTTATTATATCTTCAAGTATTAAAAAGATAGCCTTCTATAGATTAGATGCATTTTTTTTGCTTTGAAGTTATAATATAATTTTTAAAAAATATAGATTTTTAATAACTGTGCTCACACTTACAATTCTAAGTTAGTATCTATAAAACAATCAACATATTGTATGCATTCCTATTAATACTTAATATTTTATAAAAGAACTATCTTATAAATTCATAATTATTTTTAACTCTCCAAATACTAATATTGGTTTATTAATTTTTTAGCACCTTCTACCTTCAATTATCTTCTAAATATTTTTTAAAATATATATATATACATATATATATATACACTTTTATATATGTGTAATTAAATAATATTTTATTAGATTACTCATATTTTACTTTAATTACTAATTTAAATTTAATTTAGTAATAAATTATTTTTACTCTTGGTTGTTATAAATAATCTTTTATTACTTATTTACTACTACTTTATTATAGATAACAAATTTTTATTGCGACATTTTTTGTTTCTAATACTTCATATATATATATATATATATATATATATATATAATTTATAATTTATCTTGCTAATGGTATTAAATGTTAAATAATAATTACTATATTTTGGAAATTTAACAGCAATATTCATTCTATCTATTAAAAATTATAAAATGTTCATATTACATTATTAAAAGTTGCATATTGAAGATTTTTTCTTATTGAATGGTGTGATTGCATAATTATGAATTTTTTTTATGTGAGAAATGCACCAACATCATATCATTACATCGTCAAAACTAAAATATTAGATATTTAATTGTCCATTGGTCTTATCATTTGATATAGTAAAAATTATAACTATTTGTTTTTTTTAGTTTTTTGTAAAAATGCTTAAATTTATATATATATATATATATATGTGTGTGTGTGTGTGTGTGTGTGTGTATGTATGTATGTATACTACCCTCTTAGTAAATTCTTTTTAAGGAATCAGTTTGTACTGAATTATTTTAAAACATTAAAGAATAATTTATTTTGTACATTATGATAAAAAAGTTGTAAAGTAGCAAGTCATTTGAAAAACATAACTTTGATCATGAAAGATGACAAGGTAGAATCTCCCCTTCTTTTCATAAAAATGATAACATCTTCATGCTAATTGCATCAAAAGTAGACTTATTTTACAATTTAAAAAAATAAGACATATTGAGAGATTTCCTTGAATTGCAACAAAGAAAACCCAAAAGAAAGCTAATCTTTAGAAGAAAAGTTTAAACAAGATATGACAGAATCAATATACCATATTTGATGTTCAAAAATTGCAACAGCTTTTGTTCTCGATCTTTTGTTAAGTCTCCAATTGTGCTAATCATTGATGGTTGTTGAAATTCAAATTGACCTATTAGTCTTTGGATTTGACAATTTGTATCACCAATAATGCACAATGTTAAAGATAGCTTCATGATTAAAGTTTGATATCTCTAGGATTTGATTAAGATACTTTAGTATTTACTTGTAATTTAATAAAAATTTATTTAGGATTTGATTGTTATATCTTCAGAGTTTATTTAGGATTTTATTAAGATTTTTTAGGATTTACTTAGAACTAGATTAGGATTTGTTACAATTTACTTAGTGTTTCTTTAAAAAAATTAAAAGATTTTTTATGATTTCTTTATGATTCTTGTAAGGATTTAATTAAGATATCTTTGGAATTTAATTAAAGTTTGAATAAGAATATTAAATTTTAAATGGAGTTTATTTAGGATTTTATTAGAATTTTAGATTCTTTATAAGTTGTAAAATATAAGTCTATTATCTTTTATTAAGTGCTTAGTGCATTCTTAGACAATACAACATATATCACAACAGCAATAGATTTTAAATATGCATATATAAACTTATAAATATAATTTAAAAAATAGCAAGTTTTTTATAATATATTTTTTAATTCAAAAATCTAATACAAATATTTTAAAATTTTAATTATTTAAATCTTGATATTTATATATTGATTAAGAATACTACATAATCTTTAGAAGAATGTTAAATTGATCTCATTAGCTATTAATTTGATCCATCTACCATCAAAATGTAAAAAAAATATATTATTATTTGATTTTAGTAATATCCATATGAATATAAAATTAAAAAATAGATTATAAATGTATAATATATCACAACAAATATCATTGGCAAAGCAATTAGTTTAATCATGGTTAATATGTATGTAAAATTTGTACATTCATCGAGAAATAATCAATAAAATACTTTAAATTTGATAGTCACAATAAACAAAAATAATAGAGTGCTTTGTATTTGTAATGTTTATATTACCTACTTTATTGTTATTTTAAATTTATAAAATTTAATTCTATCTTTTTATACTTTTATAATTTTAGTTTAACAATTTTATACTATATTATCTTTTATCTCAAAATATTTTGGTATTCTTCTATTCCAAAATAGAAAACACATTTGATATGGAGCCTCTCTTAAAGAAGTTTTTTCTATATACAA